ACTCCTATCTAACACGCCACGCACGCTTGGGTGGAAGGGCCCCTTTGCCCCCCCAAAACCTCCTTTACCCCCTCTCCCCCCAACCCTTTTTTGAGGGGACCCCCCACCCCCCTTCCTTCCCCCAAATTTACATGCTTTTTCCCTGTCCCTTTTTACTTGGGTCCATTTTTCTCTAAATACCAAAACCCCCAAACAACCCCTCTTCTTTCCCTCTGACAATACTTTTTTTTAAAACCCCCCCAAACCCTTTTTCCCAAATTTCCCACCCCCCTCTGAATTTTCGCATAAATTTTTCCCACAAAGTTCCCTTAGACCCGGACATCTCCACGCCCTTTCCCAAACCCCCTCCTCGCGCTGCCCTTTACCACCCAACTTCACACCCATATAAAAGTGTTCGGGACTACTATACTTTAATACAATTCCCCTTTTTTCCTCCATAGATAACGGTTTTTTTACTCCACAATACCTCAAGCACCACTCACCTTTTTTTTCCCCCATCAATTCTAAAATTTAAACCCCATCCCTTCAAAATCCCCTCCACCGACACATCAACTCCCAAGTAAACTGAAAACATTTTAATTTTTTCCATACTTTCCCCCCTCCCCAATTTGGGTATCCAATTTTTTTTTTTTATCCCAAATAATTTTATTTCCCTCAAACACCTTACCTTTTCTTTTGTTCACTTTCAGCTTTTTTACCCTTTTCACACATTCCCCCAAAATCATCCACTAAAACCTTGCAATTTTTTTTTTAAATCTCCCCTAAGAAAGTAACAACAGCAAAAAGTAACCCGGTTAATTCCCATTTTAAATTTTTAAATTTCCCCCTAATTTTTAAACCCACCCCTCTCCCGAAAACATAGCAATTTTCTTTTTTTGCAACCCCCCTCTATAAATAATTTAAAAAACCATGGTACATTACACATCCCCTTTTTAAGACCCCACTTTTTCTGGGGAAATAGTCTCCCCTCTTCTACACCCCTAACCTGAGCCTCACTACCTCATAAAAACTCTTTCAGCTTTTAGTAATTTACCACCATTCCTGTCTTGCAACACTCCCACACTGCTCCCCATCCACTATCATATGCCTTTTCTAAATCCATAAATGCAAAAAACTCCCTCCTTTATCTAAATATGTTTACAATTAATTTCTTCAATGAAACACTTGATCTACCATCCCCACCCCTCTGAAACCCCCTTGCTCATCCGCAATCCTACATTCTTTTACCCCAATTCTTTCAATTATAAACCCTACCCTACCTTTTCCCCGGTAAACTCATTTAAATTTCCTCTATAATTTTTCAATCTCTTTTGCCCCCTTTCCCTTTATTTAAAAAGGGCTTACAGCTCTCCGCCAACCCTAGGTACCTTCCCCTTTTCATACTTTATTAAAAAAAAAGTACCAACACTCCAACACTATATCCCCCCCCCCCTTTTAACATTTCTTCTGATCCCCTCAGTTCCAGCTGGGTTTACCCCCCTTTTATTTTTTACGTAATCCTCAGTACCCCCCCACACTTCATTCTGCTCTTCTTCATCCCAAAAAATGGTATACCCCCCGACCGTGCATGAAAAAACCACCTCCTTTCTTCTCAAATTAAAAGTTCCAAAAAATTCTTGCCATCTATAATTCCCCCCCCCCCCCCAAATTTACTAAACTCCCCTCTCTTTTTTAATTTACAAATCCATACTTTCCTAGGCTTTTAACTTGTTTAACTCCAAAATTTTTTCTTATTTTCTTTTAAAATTTTTTTGACAGTGCCCCTTTCCCCCTCTTCATTGCCCCTTTTGACTCTCTCACCCTCTTTACCTTTCTTTTACTGTCCATATACTCTGCTTTTCTTATAACCTTCTGCTATGTAAAAACCTCTCATAAGCTAATTTTTTCTTTTTATCACACCCTTTACTTCATCATTCCACCAATCACTCCTCTTTCCCCCTGCCCCCACCCTCCTATAACCACAAACTTCTGCCCCACATTCTAATACTGCATTTTACAACTATTCCAACCTTCTTCAACCCCCCCCCCCACTACTCTCTTTGCACTAGCCCACCTTTCTGCCAACAGTCGCTTTTTATCTCCCCGAACTTCCTCCTCACTTAGTTTATACACTTTCACCTCCCTCTTACTTGTTGTTGCCACCTTTCCCCGTTTCCCCTCTACCTCTTACTCTAACTGTAGCTACAACTAAATAATGATCCGATATATCAGTGGCCCCTTTTAAACATGTACATCCCGGAGCCTACCCATTTAACCTTTTATCCACCAATACATAATCTAAAAAACTACTTTCATTACGTGCTACATCATACCTTGTATAAATTTTTTTATCCTCTTTTTCATAAAATATGTATTTATTTATTTACCAAATCTTTTTTCTACACATAGCTCAATTAAAGGCTCCCCATTTACATTTACCCCTGGCACCCGAAATTTACCTACTACTCCCTCCATAACATTTTTACCCCCCTTTAGCATTGAAATCCCACCACCATTACTCTCACACTTGATTCAAAACTCCCCACGCATTCACTCAACATTTCCCAAAATCTCTCTCTGTCCTCTACACTTCTTTCTAATCCAGGGGCCCTACACACTTACTATAACCCACTTTTCACATCCAATCTTTATTTTATCCACATAATCCTTGAATTAATACATTTATATCCCTCTTTTCCTGCCATAGCTTATCCTTCAACATTATTCTACTCCTTCTTTAGCTCTAACTCTGTTTTGAAACCCCTGACCTAATCCCATTTATTCCCCCATTGAAATCTCCCCCCCCTTCAACTTTTTTCCTTAAAGCCAGGACACCGTTCTTTTCATTCTAACATCCAAAATCACTCTTTCTTTCATTTCACAACATCCACCACATTCGACCTCCACTTTGAAAATTTTCTTCTTATTCTTTTTAGAAAATCTTTACTAAAAAGGGGGTTACACCCCTTGTTCCCGGCATTTTAGTGATTTTTACAACACCGGCTTACGGAGGAAGATTCTTATCCATTTAAAATATATTAAATATATAAAATATATATTATATATTATATATTATAAATTATATAACAGTGGAGCCCCGCTTACAACACCTCCCAATGTGACAATTATGAAAGGAATTTTTTAAAGTGCGTTTTTACGTGTATGTTTGGGGGTCAAAAGGGACTAATCTACTTCAAAATTTTCCCTTATGGGAACAAATTCGGTCGACTGGCACCTGAAATACTTCTGGAATGAAAAAAATCGTTAACCCGGGGGTCCACTGTAAGTTTTTTTATTCTTCTTGAACAACGGTTAGTGCCGTGGAGGTAGCGTAGGTAGCAATGATACGGGCCCTGGACTAGTTTGGCTTTTAATTGGGTAATGAGTACACAACGGGGAGTGTAGGAGTGCCGCAAGCCGCCCTGGGGGGAGAGGCATGGGCCGGCAGGGGGGGCGTGCCACCTAGAGGCCTGGCTACAGGGGCGGGGACCTGAGTGGCGCGAAATATAACTAAGTGGCAACGCATGGGCTGTCTGTTTCGACAGTCAGGCGTCTACATACGTCGGCCACCTACCGCGCGCGTCCCGACCGACAATACTGGTGGGCCCGTGGGATAAAGGAATTACGTACATAGCTACCCCCGAGAGGGGCTGGCTTTTGCTCACTAGTAAATCAAAAAATGGACATAAAAAACAACAGGCAAAAAAAAAACTCCCCACCATGGGGGAAAAAAAAAAACTGGTTTGCCCGTGCTATGTCATCGAGGGGAGAGTCCCGGGGACGTCAGACTGGAAATAAAATCTTTTATTTAAAAGGTTGTCCCCCAGGGGGTAACATCATTACCACTCGTCTACGAACGTTGTTGCACCCTTTACATCGCAAACAATGATGCAGTACTTTCCAAGGGTGACAGTCTCAGAGGGCAGCACTGCCCTGAC